TTATAACAGAATGTTATGTTTTACCAGTTTACAGAACTTTTACAGTGAACATGCCTGTTACTACAAATATTTCTTTTCATGTCTGCAGTACATTCAAGGCCTGGTTAATGTGCTCTGCATCAGCAGCATCTCTCGTTATGAGCTCCTTGAAAGGATGCATTTATTTATGAGTATAGTGGGTCTCTTTGTTTTCCAATAGGGCAAGAATGGTCATCTTAGTTAATAGGGTAATTTATTAATTTAACCATTTATGTTTGTGCAGGACACTGGAGCATTACTGTACATACCACTTCCTCATCACAAGGCAAGGTTTCATGCACATGGATACATAAAAAACTCCCTCCTCAGATCTAGAATAGCTTCACAGAGCAGCAGAATTTGGAATAGAGCAGGAATAAATTAAAAAATCAGTTGCATTACATTATTTTCAAAGTAAAGCACATACAAGAAGTCCACAAAATAGTAGAGTAGTACAGACAGAAATACATCTGATAAAACCCATCTACCCTAGACAACATGGGGATGAACAAATCTCATTTTGTCATAATTGGAATCTGTCATGCCAGATCTTCAGAAATGAAGCAGTGGTCTATATCTATCACAGCGGATCTAGAGATTATGGTTATGTTTGCCTTTTTTGTTGAAGCTACAGAGGCACGCAAGTGTCAGAGAAGTTCACTTTTACACAGGTTATCATGAGGGTAACTTTTTAAAGGCCACATTATCATTCTCATTTTACTTCTTTTAAGGTGGTATTTCTAGTGTAATAGTGGGAAACACTTGTTATCTCATACTTAGAAAGGAGTATTAGGGCCACAGTAAGAAAAACAAAAATTGTATTGATCATTTTGAGAATAAAGTAGAAATTTTGAGATCAAAGTTGCTGTTTCAAGACAAAATGCCACGGCTGCTATAGCCTCTAAAAAATGCTGTGTGTAGACAAGTTGATCAGCTGTCATGTGATACAACGTCCATCCTATTTATTGCATGAGGGTGTAAGTGTTGGTATCCTTGCGTCTGTCCATTGCCAGCTATTTCATTTTGTACCAAACTGCCAACTCTTCATGTTTGTGTGGTTTCTCCATCTGACCAGATGCAGCTTTCTGCACCATATTATCAGTGCCCTTATACTTATCACCACCACTAAAACTGATTCTGAAGTACGATTTCACAAACTCTACACAAGGCATGTAGAGGGTGTAGGAGCCGTGGCACTTTGTCTTGAAACAACTGTAATCTCAAAATTTTGACTTTCACAAAATATGATTTAAACTTCTTTCTCAAAATATATTTTTGACTTTGGACTTTTCTCAAAACTTCTACTTTAATCTCAAAAAGATTAAAATTTTTTTCTTAATGTAGCCCCAATATTCTGTTGCACATACCTGTGTTTTATACATTTTTAATTTTTTTAAATGAAGAAGCAAAGACACTTTTCCTCTTACACAATATTTTGAAAAGGTAGGAACTAGAGATTAAATGGTTCTATGTATTTTCACCACTCCACAAAGATTGTTTAACAATGACTGTTAACCTCTTTTTCTTTTTTTTTTCTTTTTTTGCACCATTAGTCACAGTTCATGTTTTCTTAGAAAGATAAATATTTTCCAGTTGTCATCTACTACATCTGCCTTTGAAATAAGAAGGTTCATGTGAGCTGCAAAAAGATCCTGTCCTTCCTTTTTGCCCTAAAGCAAAAACCTTT